TGAGGTGATATTATCGTTGAGGTGATAGGCCCGTGCGGAGCACGGGCAATTTCATTGAAATTCTGCTACAGCAGCCGTTGGGCCCGAGTAAGTACAAAAAGCTGGAAGAAGAATATGAAACGCTGAAAGAAGCAAGCAATAAGAGCGAACTTACTGAAGAAGGAGAAAACAGAATGAAAGAATTAGAAGAAAACATGGAAGTGTATGCCGACACCGGAGCTCAAGCAAACGTCACTCCTACTCGATCTACTGAACCAATGCAGACTGATGATAAGCCAAAGAATATAAAACAAGAGTTTGAAGGAGAATCGAAACCATCGACTGGTGAACTTATAGACGATCTTAGTATGAAATGGGACATCGATCTTAATGATTCTTATGGTGAATCTTCACTGCAGAATCTCCCTAAAGACGCGTTTGGCCATATTGTGAGAAACTCTCGCACTCGCTACTGCATCAGATATGGTTCTCAAGATGCTCGGAGCGCTCGTTTTGAATCAATTCTTCCAAATGGGTCCAACTATACGACACAAAGAGATGTTACCCAGGGTAGCAATCGCATTGTTGAGAAGATTGTGCAACACCATAGAGATACAAGAACATCGCTTCCTATGAATATACTTAGCCAAGTAAGAATTCTGGTAGTGTACTGGGACTCCAAAATGGGTGTTGGACACGACGCCGAAGTTGAGGTACTGGCTCCTAATTTCGAAGGAAGACGGCCACACACCCGCTGCTTCATCTACCTGGATCCCAATTCCTATTCACAATATAAACTTCCTAATATAACAGGATATAGCCATGAAACCAGGTCAACAATAAAACTTCTCCTTCAAGGAAATAATGATCGACAAAAATCTATCGCTCTTCACAACATTGCTGTCGATCTTGAAAATAAGTTTGAGGAAAGGTGGATGAGCAATATTCCAGGCCGACCCGGGCCACTCCAAAAGCTGATGAATGAGAGAAAAGCGGTACCCCGCCGGAATAAATCGTCGAGTGGCACTACTGAACTATCGGCAAACCCGACGCTCTCGAAACCTCCGGTCCCACCCAATCAGTCTACACCTCTACAAAAAATACCACAAGAACAGACCCCTGTCATAGTAAAGCCAGGCATACCCCTACGAGAACGGTTTCACAAAGACTTTTTAGAACTTTTTGAGCTAGCGGAAAACACTACGTATAAGGAGTTTCCTGAAGAACTGAAACTGTCTTACACCGCGCAGTTCACAAAATGGAAGGAGGTCAATTCTTGAATAAGGGCCGAAAATGGAGCCATTACTGCAAATAGTGGGAAAAATAGTTATATTGAGCCGTCTGTTTCGAAGTGTGCAACGCTTCTAGATAGTTAGTTTAGTTTTGCATCAATCTGAGTAGCTTTACAAGATGAATTTTCGCTATACTACATCTCTAAATATATTTATATCGGTTGCTAGAGCGTTCTGGCGGCTTCCTTGTTACTCTCGATTGGGGGTTTTCCGAATTGATCCAATCGTCTCCGAAGGGCTTCCTTCCCAACACGCACACACGCTTCATGGGGCTCAGAGTACGTTAACTATAACTTTAAGAGTTCAGTGCATAATTATCCGTCTAGACTTGAACTTCTCCTCATCCTATGACAGCCTTGTTCAGTCTGATTGCACGACATGTGCGGTTCTTGAAGATATGTCTGCTTACTGGACGCCACCACTTATGTTTTCGCACATAAATGGTACTATAGAGATTGTTCCACAAGTTGGTGGAATGCTAATGTAAGTACCAGGCAAGACTGTCATAAACTAATACTAATAAGGCTATATTTATTATTTTCTTTTTGGAGATGAAATTGCAGTTTTTCCATCAGGTTTTCAAATGATTGCAGGTGATGCAAGCAAGAAAAATGACTTTAGCCCCCCTTCAGACAAACCACAATCTTTGTGGGGTCCGGAAGAGAAAACACCAAATGCACTCGCTAGAAAGGCTATCGGGTTTAACTGCCTGAACTACAGTGGCAATGCCGAAGGGTCTTTAACTCGTCATTTACTTCCAAATAAGACATTCATCGATTCAAACTGCGCCGATGGCCTTCGCCTTGAGCTAATGTTTCCGTCATGTTGGAATGGCGTTTCTCTCGATGCTAACGACCATAAGTCGCATGTAGCCTATCCAGATCTCGTTATGGAAGGCACATGTCCTGCAGATTATGGAACTCGAATTCCAGCTCTGTTTTTTGAAACAATTTGGGACACCTCTGTCTTCCGTGATATCCCTGGGCATTTTCTACTTAGTAACGGTGACCAGGCTGGTAAGGATAGCTGTTTTCTCATAGAATTTTGACTTATTTGATCCTAGGCTCAAGCTATCATGGAGACTTTCAAAACGGCTGGAACATAGCTGAACTGCAGCAAGCAATTAGCAGTTGCACGAATTCATCGGGTCGGATTGAGGATTGTCCTGTCTTCTCTCTACAATCCCCATCTCAAGCAGGCCAATGTAATCTACTACCGCCAGCAGCAGTTGCTAATGAAAGCTGCGTCGGACCTCAAATGGGACTTTGTGGTAATATCACATTATAGAGATCTCTAAAGGACTATCTTTATCTTCGCCTATACTTTGATAGCAAAATTCCTTATCTAGAATTTCTATAAACTCTTTCATTAGTTACTCTACTACGTTATGCATCAATCTTTATCTTATTAGCCAGCTAAACTAGCAGGAGTGTGAATTTGATTCTTGGTTACATTAGAAGATCTATCACCCAATATTTATGTTCTGCCAATTCTTTTCTTCTTCATTCACTAACGTCCATCCCTGTGGGTCGAACATCCCTCCGCAACGAACCACCAACACTGCCCAAGCACCTTACACCCAAGCC